CGCTCCCCCCTCCCTTGGCTGCTCAGGGCTGCAGCGTGGGCTCTTCCCAGCTGGGTGAACATTCCACCTCATCAGCCCCAGGAAAACCTCCTCGCTGGGAGGAACTGTGCTCACCCCGCTGACAGCAGTTACCAAGGAACTGGTCATTAAGGTAACAGGTTTCTTGTCAAAAGTCCTGCACAGCTTTAGCCACCACGCTGCTGGAGATGGGAGGTGAGAGAAAGCTCCAGGAGGTGCCCTCAAAATCCTCTGCTGAGCCTGAGCCCTGCTGTGACACGGCTGAGGGAACGCTTTGTAGCTGTGCACAAATACTGTCCTGCTGGGCTCAAACCATCTCTGCAGCACCCGGGTACGAGGAGAGATGCTCTGGCAGCAGGTGGCCCTGTCACCCTGAAGCTCTGTGGGCTGGATGGAGAAAGCTACAGGAGCAGCTGGGTAAGAACTGGAGGCTGGAACTGCAGCGACTCTAGCACTGAACTCACCCCACTGCTTCTTGAAAATGTCTCATCTGGAGGGGAGGGGAAAAGAAGAGACAGGGTTGTGTTTGCCAGCTGGGTCTCCCCGAGCACTCAGCTCGTTTTGTTTGTTTCCATGAGTCATTTTTAGAACAGGCAACAATAATCTCACAGTGCTTGAGTCACACGTAGTCTGGAGCCAACTTCTTGGAGCTTTCTTCAGGAGAGTGAAAAAGGTCCTGAGAGGAGCACTGCCTCCTGCTTTTGCACAGGACAAGAAATGCTGTTTTAAAAAGAGGTGGGTGATGTAACTGGCTTTTGGAAACACAGGAACCAATCTTCCCCGGATGTCCCTTCAGCTCTGAGACCTCGAACAGCGTGGCACAGAGAGGGGCTGCTACAAAATGTGCCCAGTCCTGGCTTCTGGCACCATCATCCCTGGAAATCGGGTGCCGAGAGACCTTCTGAGCCCAGGGCTGTCCCATGTCCAGTGGCTGTCCCTCCCTGTGCTTGGGGCTCCTCAGGGGAGGACAGAGCTGCTTCTGCCCACGTGTCTCCAGAGCTGCTCTGCTGCAGGAGGAGGCTGTTTGTTGTGGGCAGCCCCTTCTCATCGCCTGGAAACGTTGTCAGGGAGTGTCCCAAAGTGGAGCCACCGTGGCCTCGGCCTCCATCTGCCCTGCTCAGAGGGGAAGGGCTCCAGCTCTTCCTCCAGCTCCAGGAACCGCTTGTGCCGAGGAGATCAAACAGCTGGGCTGGGGTTGTGAGGAGGAAAATAACCCTGCAGGAACCACCACGATAAATACGCGACGGAGCACAGACAGACCGTGCAAGAGAGCAGCTGTAGGACTCCCCAGGGGCCAGCGGGACAGTCCTGCTCTCGGGAGGCTCAGATGGGTTTTTTCAGCCAGCAGAGACCAAAATGCCCACCAAAACATCATTTTTGGTACTCCACTGAGCAGTGGCTTCTACGTTCCCTAGGACATGGTTGCCCCAGGGGTTTCTCTGTTCCGTGCAGTTGCCTCACCCAGGTCAGCAGGTGTGGAGCACCAAACCAGCCTTGCCCAGGCACACCAGCCCAGGGCTGGCCAGTGCTGGCCAGTGGCTGCTCTCCTGTCAGTTGTCCTCTGATTCATCTGCTACAGTGCAACACAGCCAGACCTGCCCGTTGATGCCAACACTGCAGGAGCTCCAGAAACGGGCTGTGTAACAGCTTCTAAACCTGTCCAAATGGCCCCTCCTCTGGCTGGGCACAGAGGGCTGTGATTTTTCTGACCCGTTCTGTTCATGGCAGGCACCAAGCCTCGGGAGTGTCCCCACAGGTCGTGTCTCTGTGCTCAGCCCTCCAGGGGACACAGACCCAGCACCGGCGGGCACCGTTCCGCCCGGCCCCACCCTGGAGGGGCCGTTCCTGTGGACACACCAGACCCGGTGTGCCACCCGAGGGCACAAGGGCTGAGAGTCCCTCAGCCTGGCCCAGCACGGCCTCGTGGCCCTGCCCCTGCCTCGCTGGAACAGCCACCACCCCCGCAGGCGTCAGCCCCAGCACGGGGGGAGCAGGGAGCAGCCAGCAAAGGGATCCAACAGGGACCTGCCCGGGCAGTGCAGGAGCAGCTGCTGAGGACACGGCTGCTGCTCAGCCCCTGTCCTGCCCCCACGGGCACACAGGAGCTCGGACAGGAGTCAGCAGAGCTACAAAATGTGCCTTTTGTAGCCACCTCTGGAAACGGGGCACGAGGAAAAGGTCTCAGTACAGACTACAAACCCAGCACTGAAATCAAATATATAAACTGAATATATTAAAGCTTTGGATTTTATTACACTTGAGTGTCTTACCCTTCTCTCCTGCTCCAGGTGAAGCTACACGTGGGAGATGGAGGGGTAGAGGAGGACGCCGCTGAAGGTGGAGTACATTTCGTCAGAGTCCGTGTAGGCCAGCTTGCCCCCCGTCACCACCACGTTCACCTCGTCTCCCGCTCGGAGGTGGAGGACAAGGTGGAAGGTCCCCGGGCCGCCGCAGGTCCGTCTCCCCGCGTAGGGCTTGTGGTACTCCAGCAGCTCCCTCCTGTAGCCGGCCGTGTGGAGCTGCGCCACGCTGGCGTTGGACACCGACAGCACGGCCTCCACGTACTCGTCCCGCTCGGGGGCCAGCACCGCCGTGATGAGGTACCGGCCCTCCAGCGGGGACGTGAAGATGCCTGAGGGACACAGACCTGCCTGAGCTTCTGAGGCACCCGAACGCACGGGACGGGTGGGGACAGACCTTCAAAGGGCATCCAGTCCCACCCCTGCAGGGACAGGGACATCCCCAGCTAGAGCAGGGTGCTCAGAGTTGTGTCCAACCTCCCCTGGGATGGTTCCAGGGATGGGGCAGCGACCACCTCTCTGGGCAGCAGGGGAGGGACCGATGGCTCACAGCACAAGGACAAGCAGAAAGTGACACGAGTCCCCCACTGCTCCACACAGGAGCCTGTGACCTGGGCTGCTGGGTGCTGCTGGGAGCTGTGAAGGCTGGGGGTCTCTGCTCTGGTGTTGGAGCCCCCCATCCCTCAGGACATAAGCAGATCTTGGCCACTTCCAGGAACCTCCTGCCCTGAGCAGCTGCCATGACTTGGCACTGCCTGGAGAGCTGAGAGGCACACACGAGCTGGGCAAGTCCCCAGCAGGTTACTGCATCCCTGACACCTCAAGTGACGTCACCCTCTGCTTGAAAAGGAGCCCTACAAGAAGGACCTTGAGGGGCTGGAGCGTGGCCAGAGAAGGGCAACAGAGCTGCTGGGGAAGGGTCTAGAGCCCAAGTGTGGGGAGGAGCAGCTGAGGGAGCTGGGGGTGCTGAGCCTGGAGCAAAGGAGGCTCAGGGGAGACCTTCTGGCTCTGCACAGCTCCTGACAGGAGCCTGGAGCCAGGGGGGGGTCGGGCTCTGCTCCCAAGGGGCAAGGGACAGGACAAGAGGAAACGGCCTCAAATTGCCCTTGGAGAGGTTAAGGTTGAATATGAGGAACAATTTCTTGCCCTGGAGGGTTGCCCAGGGCTGTGCCAGGCTGCCCAGGGCAGTGGTGGAGTCCCCACCCCTGGAGGGGTTTCCAAGCCGTGGAGATGTGGTGTGAGGGACACGGGGCAGTGGGGACCTGGCAGGGCTGGGGGATGGTTGGATTCAATCATCTTCCAACCAAAATGAGCCTATGACCCTGTGATTGCCGTGCTGCTGTGAAACCAGCAGTGGTGAAGCCCACGCCTGTCCACCCCCCGGGAAGCCTTCACCCCAGTGGGCTGGTTTTGATGGGCTTATCTTGCTTGGCCACTGCCTGAGACTGCACCAAGCACTGCAGCCCCCGGGGCCCCTGCCTGGCCTTACCTGTACTGGGGTTGTAGTAGTCCCCATCATTCACAAGCACTTTGTTGAAGTGAACCACGCCCACGTCACTGGAGAAAGGTTTCTGGGTGAGCCCAGCAGAAAACGACACCAGGGAGGCTGCAGCAGCAGCAGCAGGTCCTGGAATGGGCACGACCATGAGTCAGTGACAGCAGGACAGCAGAGCCCCTCCTGAGCTGGTTCATCACCCAACACCTCCCACCTCCCTTCGGTGCAACACTGCTTCTGCCATGGACCTCCAGACAGGCTGCCCTTGGACACCTCAGCTCTCCATCCCCATGGCCACAGGACCACTCAAGGTGCAGAGGCAGCTGAGGAGCAGCTTGGACCCTGAGCCCCTCTGCCCAAGGGAGTGACAACAGCCACAAGTGACACATCAGTATCAGAGCAGGGACACCAGCCCTGGGGCTCTCCTCTCCCTGGTGCTCCTCTCCCGGGGAGACTTTTTCTGGGAACCACCAGCACAGCTCTGGTGGGGAAACTGCTAGGCAGACAAAGTTTCACCAAAGAGGCACCCACAGCTTCACAGCCTCTGGGGAGGGAAACCCCTATGGCTGGAGACATACCCAAGGAGGTTTCACTTCAGCTACACAGCACCTCCAGAGGTGAGCAGGAGCAGGCACCTGGCAGCCTAACCCAGTGCTCTGTGTTCTGGGGAGCCAAAAGACCACAGAAGACACACACGTGGCCTTTGTTAGGTTATATCTACTTCCTCCCATCTGCTAGTTGTATTTCTGGTTCTCCACCTCTTTTGGACCTCCCAGTACAGTTTATGCCTCCCACAGAGCCCAAGGGCCTCAAGGAGAAAAAGAAGAAGCAGCAAAAAAGAAACTAAAGCAAGCAAGTGAGCACAGTGCACAGCAGAGGCATCTTCTGCTGAGGTGGAGCAGCCCCAGCGTGTGCTGGGCCCAGACTCCAGCCTGCCCTGAGCAGAGCAGCCGTGGGGCTGCAGGGCACTGGGCTGGCTGCACTCGTGTCTCCTCTGCCTCAGCAGGAGCAGGGAGGGTTTGGCTGAGCCAGAGGACGCCCGAGGGTGCTCCATGCCACAGCTGAAGGGTGGAAGCAGCAGCCACCATCAGCCCCTGCCCTTGGAACTGCTCAGCCTGGCCTGCACACACCTCGTTCTCCAGAGCATTCCCTCTGTCCCCCCCCACAGGAGTGTCCCCCCTGCCCCAGGAGCCGTGCAGCTCTGGCTGTCTCTCCCTGCCTGCCACGAGCAGCTCTGGCTCTGGCCTCTCCCTGCCTGCCATGAGCAGCTCTGGCTCTGGCGCTCCCCGTGCAGCAGGAGAAGGTTCCTGAGCAGCTCCCTGCCACTCCTCACACCGATTCCCATCTCCCACCCCCCTCCTGTGTCCCCTCCCTGCTCCCCCGGGCAGCAGCAGAACACAGCCACGGGTGCAGCTGCAGGTGACCTCCTCTTCCCTACCCCGAAATCCAGCAGCAGGCTCTCCCTGTGCTACACCATGGTGTGGAGCGAGAACACCGCTCCCTGGCCAGCAGCCAGAAGAAGGAGCTAACCCAGCAGAACCCATCACAAGCACAGCAGTGTTCACTAAACCCTTTCTTCAAAGCAACAGCAATGCTGCCCCTGAAACATCTCCTGCAGGTCTGCTGCCTGGAGGCCCTCGGAGAAAGTGGAGGTGGCTGAGTATCAGACAAGCAAAAGGCATTGAAAAGCCTGCCCCCGAGGCAGCCCTTCATCCACACTGCCCCAGCAGCAGGGCTCAGCCCAGCTCTGCTCTTCCCCCCATCACACCAGGAGCTGCTTTTGGAGAGGAGCACCCACCTGCTGGGGCAGCTGCAGGGTTATGGGCACACACAACTCCACAGCCCACACAGAGGGGGTGGGGAAGGCAAATTCTGCCTCCAGTGAAGTTTTTTCTCACTGTGACCCTCCATATGCTGCTCAGAACATCCAAATCCTCTTCTTGCCTCTGTCCTTGCCTAGCTGTGTGATCTGGGGTCTTACAGGTGTCCTCTCCTTGGTTCCCAGAGCAGTTCACCAGCCAGCTCATGCCCCTGCTCCAGCAAACAAACATTCTCTCCACTGTAAGGCTGCCAGAGTCACCAACGTTTGCTGCTGTCTCTTTAAATAACAACTGGTTCAGCTCTTCCTGCAGTACAAGGGACTAGGTGGATGCACTTAGGTCCTGACACTTAACTCACCCCTGTCATAAGCTAGCCTGTGAAAATAGAGCTAACGTGTCATTTTCTCCTGAGTACTCATTAGTACTCACCAGTCCTCGAGGGACTGCACCCACGGCTGCATGTGAACAGCAGCTGTGGAACCTGGAGAGCCCAGGGAGGGCTGTGGCCTGGCAGGCACAGGAGCAGTGCCTCAGCACTGGAGAGCAGCCCCAGGGGGCTGGTCTGAGCCCAGAGAGCCGTGGGGAGCCCTCACCCCCTCCCTGAGCAGGCATTTGTGTGAGGGCAGCTGGCAGAGGCAGGAGCTGAAGGGAGCACTCGGGGCAAAGCCTCTGTGAGCTCCAGCAGCAGCCTCCTGAACACTGCTGGTGAATGGTGGTGGCTGCTGCAACGCAGGAGAACCCCCAGGCTGTGGTGCAGCTCACAGGTCTGGACACCTCTCTTGGCATGGGGATAAATGAACGTTTCTTGGCTTCTTGTCCTCCCCAGGGCCTCACCCATCGCTGCCTGCTCCTCCCAGAGCCACCCCCACACACAGAACACCTGCCTGAAGAGGGTCTAAGGCTGACAGACTTTTCATCAGAACGTATAAATGTCACCACTACAGTGTGACCTCTACCACTCTGCCTGTCAGTCCCCACACCAGTCTTCAGGATTTTGTTAGGGCCATCTAGCTAAGTCCCAAGGGCAGCTTTCTGGATATCATAAAGCCCTAATGGTTTATTTTCATCTATTTCTCTTATTTCCTCAAACAAATTTAGATGAAATAATCCTCTTTGAAGAGGGTGTGGGAATATTCACTTTGATCCAGGATGCCATCCCCCAGGGTCTGATAATATCTTGAGTATGAGGTTGCAGGGCAGGCAGCACCCCATCAACGTGTTCATCAAGGCCAACTAGCATGATTTATACCTGTTTATCATACAAATCCATAAATGAACTGTGTAATTAACAACTACAGGAAATTAAAAATCTCCTCCAAACCAAGAAAACTGCCTTTGAATCTTTTTAACCTGTGGCTGTGAGCAGCAGCCCTGCTGCTGAAGTCAGGAACCAGGCCCACAGCTCCTCCCCCACGAGGAGGAAACCTCACACGCTGTCATCTCAGACACTGACAGTGCTTCCAGACCTCAGTCTTGGCCTGAGTTGTATCTCATTAGAGACATATTAAAATAGTCAGAAATAAATATGTATCTTCTCATGTAAAAGGAAAAACACCGTCAGTACTGACACTTGCTAGGAAACAGAAACCCTCTGTATTTAAGAAAACCCACAGAAGTCAGTAATAACCCAAAACAAATTCTTTTTCAAAGCCTCAAACCCCCCTCTTTTCCAGGATGCAGACTCTGTCTTCATGCTCAGGTAGAGAAAAATCTGTCAGATTTTCCTCAACGTTAAACTGAAAACACAAAACCTCAGCATTTTGTTCTCTCAGCAGTGACTTTCCAGGGACTGAAATAACGTACAAGTGCAAAGGATTTCTGGGAAACAACTGCCTTACCTGGTGAGTCCGTGGCAGGAGCAGGTAGCTTGGGATACCCTACAAAGGAAAAGCAGCGTGTGTGACACAGCACAGCATGGAAAACACGATGCCAAAATATCACTGCAGCCTTCTAAAAATCACCCTTTGTTACCAAACAGCAACCTACCAAAGCAGCGACCCAAGAGCATCAATTGGCTCTAAACTTGGGTGGTCGTGGCAAAGAAAACCAAAGTCTTACTACAGAGTGTCAGTCCACAGCAGGAAAACATAACTGAAGTCTCCCCAGTGGCAAAGAGGGTGGCAGGAGCCAGGATCTCACACCAGCCCTGCTGCCTCGTGCTGCGTGCAGCCTTGGTGAAGGCAACAACACGGGCACTGAGGGGCTTCCACGGAGCCACGGAGTTGTTCTGCTTGGAAGAGACCTTTAAGATCACCAAGTCCAACCACTAACCCAGCACGGGCAGGTGCCCACCCCCATGTCCCTCAGCATGGCCTTGGCCCCTGTGCCCACGCTGGCTC